TACCAAGAATACAAATAGTAGCCTGCCAAGACAGGGGTGGGGGCCACACTTCTGTAATGCCAGAGGCTCAGGAGGCTAAGGCAGGATGATTGCAAGTTCAAAATCAGCCTCAGCAACTTAGCTAGTACCTAAGAAACTTAGTACGACCCTGTCTCARAATAAGAAATCCTTTAAAAGGGAGTTGGAGATGTGGCTTAGTAGTTAAGCACCCCAGTTTCAATGCCTGGAATAATAATAATAACAATAACAATAATAATAATAATAATAAAATAAATGCTGCCAGGATGCAGGGTAGTGTTAGCACAAAGGGAGGAAGTTCACTGCTTGATACATTTCTTTGGGTTCTGAAGACAGCATATTCCACATCTGGGCATACCCTCCCACCTATTTACAGGTGAACACAGTAGGTCGTCCACTTTGAGTGGGGCCTAAATTAGGAAAGGGTTCCACATAAGACCCAAGCAAGGTGAAAAGAGAATTACTATTTGGACTACACAATCYGACTGACCCTTTGGTATGAGAAGGACTTGACATGGAAAAAGAKGCTCTGTGGGTCTTACAGTAAGCACAAGTAGGAAAATCACAGGGCGGACTCCTGGGGTTTCAAATCAAGGCCAAATGACTTTTTCAGTGGAGAATAATAAACCTCCTGAATGTTCCCTCCTATATACTACTGGGTCCTGGGATGGGTCACCTAACCATGAGATAGSAAGTGACTAAACATGCAGAGCTTCTCCCGGTATGGTAAGTTTTATGAGATCTACCAAGTCATGATGTTAGGTGTGGCCYAAACCCAATTTCTTAGAAGATAGAAGTAGAACACTGAGCATGAGCAGCACAAGAGATCAGACATGACTTGCCTGAGGAGGAGGGAAGCAGACCCCATCCAAAGGCATCCATTGCTCTAACCCATGCAGCCTGTGAAAATGTTAGCTTACTAATCAGCTGACTTTAAGCTAGGAAAGTTATCTTGGATTGCTGGGTGGACACAATATAATCACAAAGATCCTTAAGAGTAAGAAAAATGAGAATGAGATATGAAAGAAGGAAAGAGATGTGGATTGTATATCAATCAACATTGTATGCTATTAGTAGAGGGATAGACCCATAGATCAATGGAACAGAACCTAGAAATTAGAAATAGA